GCGAACCGGGGCGCCGCCAGCACAGCCCGGCCTGGGGGAGGGGGGGGTCGGTGAGACAGACACTGGCAGCTCCCCCAGCCCGTGGGATTGGGGAGGGGCTGCCATGCCCGGCACCCGGGGGCATACCTGGCATCTGTTTTTAACGCAAACTATAAATTGGGCGTGGTGGGGAGGAGGGATTGTGCTGCTTTTGCTGCTGCTACTGCTTCAGTTGCAGCTACTTCTCTGTACTTGTCTTTCTGCTGCTTTTACTTCTTTGGGTGCCGCTGCTTTCTGCTTGTTCTTCTGTTGCTCCTTCTTTTGTTTCTATTGCTGCTGCTTTCTTTTTCCTCTCGTTTCTTCTTCTGCCGATGGCTTCTGCTGCTGCTGATTTTTCTTTTCATCTGCTGCTGCTACTTCATCTGCTTCTGATGCTGCTACTTCTTGCACCGCTGCTGCTGTTTCTTCTGCTCCTTCTCCTGCTTCTACTTGTTTTTCTGCGTCTCCTTTTTCTGCTTAAATCTGCTGCTCCTTCTGCTACTGCCACTTCTGTTGCTCCTTCTAGGTTTCTTTCCCTGTTGCTGCTACTTCCTGTGACTTCTTATTGTTGTTCTGCTGCTGCTGCTTTGGTTTCCGCTGCTTCTCCTGCTGCAATTTCTTCTGCTGCTGTTCCTGCCTCTTTTATTCTGCTGCTTCTTCTGATGTTTCTTCTGCTGCTGCTTGTTCTTCTGATCTGATGCTTCTACTTCAGCTGAGGTTTCTTCTGCTTCTGCCTCTTTTCTTCCCTTCTTATCCTGCTGCTCTTTCTGTTGCTGTTGATCCTTCCTCTGTTCTTCTTCTGCTGTTTCCATTTTTCGATTGATGCTGCTGCTACTTCTGCTTCTTCCTTTTTGGTTTCTTCTTTTGCTGCTGCTGCTTCTTCCACTGTGTCTGATTCTTCTGCTTCGTTTGCTGTTTTTCTTCTCTTACTGCTGCTCCTCCTTCTCCTACTTGTTTTTCTGCTTCTTCTGAAGCCTCAATCTGCTGCTTCTTCTGTTTCTTGTTGATTCTTCTGCTTTTCCTCCTGTTTCCTTTGTTGTTGCTGCTACTACTTTTCTTCTTCTGCCACTGCTTCTGTTACCGCCTCTTTCTTCCTTCTCCAGCTGCAGCATCTATGGCTGCTGCTGCTGCTGCTACTTCTTCCACATCTGCTTCTTGTGAGGTTGCTGCTGCTACTTCTTTTTCGGCTTCTTCTACTGCTGCCTCTTCTTCTGTTGCAGCTGCATCTCCTGCTCCTACTTTTTTTCCTGCTTTTTCTTCTTTTGTTTGTGCTGCTGCTTCTTTTGCTGGTTCTTCTGCTGCTCTTTATTCTGCTGCTGCTACTACTACTTCCTGTTTCTTCTGCTGCTGCACCTTATTAATTCTTATTTTGCTGCTGTTTCTTCAGTTGCTATTTCTTTGACTGCTGAAGTTTCTCTTGCTGCTGATACGGTTTTCCACTGTGTCTTCTTCTGCTGGTACTTCTGCTGCTGTTTTTTCTAATGTTGCTGTTGCTGCTTCTGCTATCTCTGCTTACTTCTGCTACTACTTATTGTTCTGTTTCTCCTTTTTCTGCTGCTGTTGCTGCTTCCTGTTTCTTCTGCTCCTATGGCACATCTCTTGCGGAAAAGCACATGGCAGCATGTACAGGCTCTTGCACAAGAACTCTTGCACAAAACAGTTCTTGCACAAGAAGCCTGCAGCTAGACATAGCCTGAGGGTGGAGCTGGGGCGGGGCGAGGGGAGACGACTGTTGGGTTCCTACTAGGGTGCCCAAGAGCACGTGCCTGTCAGGTGGGGACCAGCCGTTCACCCCCCCCCACCTCTCTCACGCAGCCACGTGGGGTCCCGCAGCCCGGTTCTGCTTAAATCTGCTGCTCCTTCTGCTACTGCCACTTCTGTTGCTGTTGCTCCTTCTATGTTTCTTTTCCTGCTGCCGCTACTTCCTCTTTCTTCTGCTCTTCTCCTGCTGAGTCCCGGGTCACTGACCCGCCGCGCATGCGCGGTGTCACCCCTCCCGCGATTCGCTGCATCGCCTCTGCCGAGCCCAGGCCCCGCCCCCCGCTGCCATTGGCCCCTGGGCGGAGCCCGCAGCAGAGACTCCGCGCGAGCCCCAGTCGCGGTCGCTGCACGTGCTGAGGCGGGAATTGCGAAGGAGCCGTTGGGGCCGTTACTCGCCGCGCGCAGGAGCCGAGGTGGGGGCGGGGCCCGGGCTCGGCGCGGGGGAAGCGAAGGCGGCGGGAGCCCGGTTCTGTCCCCCGGCCCCCGTTGGCATGTCCCCCCCTCCTCCCCCCGGGGGTTCCCTGGGGCCGGCGGGAGGCGCCCCGGTCGGACACGCGCCGGGGGCCCTGCAGGGAGGCGCGTTCCCCGCGGTACCAGCGTCCGGACTCGCTGTTGTACAGACAGGAGCGCCACTGCGCATGCTCCGTGCCCCAGTTCCCCCTCCCCAGCCTAATCTCACGGGTAACCGCGCGGCAGCAGCTGGGGCGGGGCCGGAGCAGCCCCTGCAGACCGGGGCGTGTGATCCCCGTGCAGCTCCCCACGCGGCCCGCCCAGTCCCTGGGGGGCCCTGTGCAGGGGTCGCGCCCGGGGCGGGGGGAGCGGGTCTCACTGACAGTTCTGGAAGCTGATCAGCACAGCCAGGTGGATTCTGGGGTCCGTATGATGCCCCAGGGAACCTCCACACCAGCTCAGGGACCAATGCCAGGGCCAGAGTGTGGGACATTTTCACCAAAGCCTCCAGGGCTGTAATGTCTCTCATTGGCATACAGAAAACAACCTGATTCAGCTCCAGGGAGGGGACCGACCAGTTATTGCTAGAGGTGGGGCAAAGTGTGAGCTCAGGAAATCTTAACTGATCCTATTCCCCAGCCCAGAGGGAGCCATGGCCGCAGTGAGACCCATGAGAAGTCTCCAGAAGGAAGCGAGGTGTCTTAAACATAAAAATGAGTTGTCCTATGGAACCCTATGTTTAACCACCCGAGTTCTTGCACGTCACCATTAACGCACGCACGCTATATAAACACTTATATTACAATTCTCTATTATATGCACACCTATACTATACATTTTTCAATGATGGAATTTAACAATAGTCATTGCCTTCATTTATAGAGATGAAGAGGGACAAATTAAATAAAAGTCAGATTACAGAAATGTATTTATTTTGTCCACATTCACGGTGTGCTTTTTTCCATTGTAATGATTAATTTCCAAAATGTTTGTTCAGCCATAGGAGCATTTTTTTTCAGCATTACCAATCCTTGCTCTTCTATGAAAAAATATGAGTCCATCACACAGAAGAATCTCTCACAGGCAGCTTATGGAGACAGAGGTCTGTTGGCCCTGGTGCACAGCTCCCTAATTCTAGGAAAAGAGTGCAGCAGATCCCTGGTCTCTCCTGAAGAGGCCAAATACCCTTCAAGCTTCTTTGCAGTTTCATTTGTCTAAAATGACATAGTCTCTCACCTTTTCTAATCCCAGTTTCATGCTTGCTCCTAGTGGTCCTAACATTTGGCATCAAGATGTCAGCTGCTGTTAGCTCCAGGTCCTCAATTATTTCACCAAAACGTTTCTGAATGCTGCACTGGAATCTATCTACCAGTGGCCTCGAGGGCATCAAGTTTCTTTGCAGTTTTGAAACCATCAAGTATAATTTAAACTTAAAAAAACCCACAAATGGTCTGGTAGCACTTTATAGACAACAAAACATATAGGCTGTGTCTAGACTGGCAAGTTTTTCCACAAAATCAGCTGCTTTTGCGGAAAAACTTGCCAGCTGTCTACACTGGCTGCTTGAATTTCTGCAAGAACACTGACTTCCTACTGTAAGAAATCAGTGCTTCTTGCGGAAATACTATGCTGCTCCCGTTCCAGCAAAAGCGCAAGAGGGCCAGTGTAGACAGCACAGTACTGTTTTGTGCCAAAAAAGCCCCGACCGCGAAAATGGCGATCAGGGCTTTTTTGTGCAAAAATGCATCTATATTGGCATGGATGCTTTTCCACAAAAAGTGCTTTTGCGGAAAAGCATCCGTGCCAATCTAGACATTCTGTTCCAAAAATGCTTTTAACAGAAAACTTTTCCGTTAAAAGCATTTCCAGAAAATCATGCCAATCTAGACACAGCCGTAGATGGTATCTAAACACAGCCATAGATGGTATCATGAGCTTTCGTGGGCACAGCCTACTTCTTCAGATGACTGGAGTTTTGAGTTTAGGATGTGCAGACCTATTTATTTTGGCTCTGCACATCCTAAACTCAAAACTCCAATCATCTGAAGAGGTGGGCTGTGCCCACGAAAGCTCGTTATACCATTTATATGTTGTCTATAAAGTGCTACCAGACCATTAATCTGTACAGGATAAACTTGAAAAACAATGAACTCAGCTACGCCCTGAAGCTGGTATAATTTACGCAGCATCCATTCCATTAGTGTGCTTGTCTCTGATTAGAGACTATTTAGTACCTTCACCACTGGGCCCATAACCATGGCATATTCTGTCAATAAAACCAGCTCTGCTGGATTCAGCCTGTCGTATAGTCAATACATAATGTTAATACAAGTATCAGAGGGGTAGCCGTGTTAGTCTGAATCTGCAAAAGTGACGAGGAGTCCAGATGCATGTGACAAAGTGGGTCTTTGCCCACGAAAGCTTATGCTCCTACATTTCAGTTAGTCTATAAGGTGCCCCAGGACTCCTCGTCACTAATACAAATACAGAATGATCAGGGTTTGTGTTTTTAACAAAAAGAAAAGCATAAAGTGAAGAGCTTCTTGCATACTAATTTGGAGTCCTGGGAACACATTTCTCATGGACCCTTCTCCTTGTTCATTCAGTATGTACCGAATTCTCTCCACAGCCATGAACACAGAGTTCCATCTTTTCTGGCTTGGCCAAATGCACTGGGGCTTGCATTCTGCTTCCACCATTTTTGCTCCAATTGCTGAGTGTTCAATTTTATTTCATAGTGCTTAGCATCTGGCAAAAGTGGACCTGGCCATCTCTTCTTAGGTGTCATTTGATTCTCCCTGTACCACATCTATAAATGAAACTAGGTTCTACAAGTGGCAGGGTCAATGTTGGTGTTTTGGTACAATTTATTCAATTTAGGCACAAACTGAAGAATCTGCAGCTGGTGGGCTGGTGCTACAGGACACAGCGAGCTGGCTCTCCAGAGCCTCTATTCCCTTGGGCCAGGCAGGAAAGCACAGGGTGCGTGTGTCTGGCTGCTGCGTTCACTGTGAGTAACTCTCCTTCCCTTCTCTGGGCCAGTAAATCGTTGGTGATTGTGCCACAGGACTGGCTGCAGGCGCTGGGTTTGCTTTCAGCCGGGAGCTGCCAGTGACTTGGGGCAAACGCTGACTTTGGGATGGGCAGAAACCAGAGTGTTGTGGGGCTTGGGGAGGGAGCAGGTCTCTGTCACTCAGGCTGTCCTGTGGGGGAGGGTTCCCTCGAATTGGTTCCGTCAATGTGTGGAATAAAATCATTCTGTGCACCAAGGCAGGTGCAGATGTGCACCACACATAGAAACAGGCTGGGGGGAGGCTGGTTCTGTTCATCACCTGGGCGGTGCCTGAATCTGTCCTGGGTGGCTGGCCAAGTGCTCAGCTTACAGGTCCAGCCCATGCCCCCCCCCCCCATCCAGGGCAGGTGGAGAGTCTGAAGCTCCCCACAACTGCCCTTGTGGTTCTTACCCCATTCATGTCACAGTAAGAACTGTCTGGGCAGTGGGGGATCCATGGACCCTCCATCTGCCCTGGGCAGGGGTACTAGGGCTGGCCCAACAGCCAGCGGCAGCTTTCGAATCCGCGATTCCCAGGTGGATGGGTCTGTGATGGCCCCAGCTGCATTGGCACCCCAGGGCTTCTCCTCCTTGGGCAAGGTCCAGATTCTGGCCAGGGTGGGGGGGCAGAGCCTGGGAGAATGGGGAGGAGCAGGGGGCAACTGATGAGAAAAGAGGCCAGGCCAGACCTGCCCACCTTCAACAGTGGGAGGGGCCCTTGGACTCCTGTTGTGGTGCCCCCGAGGGGGATGGGCAAAGGTAGAGGTTACTCATTGTGACAGATGTATCTTGTATATCCATGGCAATATTGCACCCCTGCTCTAGGGGCTCCTGACAGGCGAGGGGGGTGCAGGGAGGGGCAGCAGCACATGGGGCTGGGAATGTCCTAGACACCAGCACTTCCCAGTCCTGGAGCAAAGGCTGGAGATAGGTCGGAGGGGAAACTGATACCCCCTCCCCTCCCAGCCTGTACCCCAGGGCCAGTCAGTGGGGAGAGGGGCCCCACTGGGGCAGGAATGTCCCTGCTCCCAGCACACTGCCAGGGACTGAAGGGTGTGGTGACCAGCAGAATCAGCAAGCTCGTTGGTGGGGAACACTTGTAATACCAGTCCCCAGCAGCAACAGCTGCAGCAGAGGGTCGGGGGGGGGCGGGGAACCGAGGGGGGGACGGTTCCTACAGCCTGGGGGGGGGTTAATCCGCCGCCCCAAGAA